CATCAGCGAGAGGCGTCATCATATGCATAGATATACAACTTAATACTTGTCACTGATAAGTTGTATCTCCGTGCTTACGATAGAGCCTCACTGACGATGCCGGTGAAACGTTTGTGAATGTACCCAGCCAATGATCCAATGCTGGAAATCACGAATATATTGGCAAATGACATGGGGCTAGGTACGTTCCTCAAGGTATCCCTGAACTAACACAATTAATAATTGAGTTTTCCCGAGATGAAAAGACTAGGTCCCACGACGCCGGTGAATTTCAATGACATCAGTTGATCTAATTATCTCATTGTTGGAAAACTCAACTATCAGTCGTCAAATCACCCTAAACGACCTAGGGTGACTTAGCTCTTACTCGAAAATTGCAGTCTCGAAAAATACTTAGATCAAGGTAGCCAATTTAAAAAGGAGTAAGGAAATCCTAAAATAAGATGTAAAGGTTTAAAACAAGTTAATAAAAAAGGATCACTTCGACACCATTTTACGATGGCAAGGCAATTTAAAAAGTAATGGGCTAAAAGTGTAAATAATTAAAAATGAAATGAAGCAAATTGAATTTAGTGTTGAAAAATATTCAGTTATATTTTGAAAAGGTGTTACAAATAAATGGTAAGCAAACTTTAGAAAATATAGCAGCTAAATAGATCCAGTCGTAAGCATAGACTTAGACAAACCTTGTTTTATCCATGATGGAATTTAGAGTAAAGATGTTTGTTGGGGCAATCGATCTCTTCTTTATACTGTTATTACTAGGGCCTCCTGAAATCTCCTCCGCCACTTCGGCCGCGCGAATTGCAGCACTGGCCAAGCCAGCTGCTGCTGCAGCCCGATCACGCTCAGCCAAGCGCTTTGATTTGATAATACTAGCAGGAGCCGTAATTTTTGCTCTAGGATGCAATGGAGACAACCAACAGACGTCATCTGTTTTAGTGTTCCAGTAGTAGAATCTGATTTAAATATGAAAATCTAGGGTAAATAAAAAATTTGCCACGGAGATAATCGCTCCAAAGAATATATTAAATGTGTGAATAAAGGGTAAGATCATCACCTATGCGAAACAGGATCTCCAACTTCAATCCAATGGCTGGGCAAAGGGTATCGGCGTAGCATTCTCTCTTTCCTCTTTTGCAAACTGGAATCCGGTTTAAACTGTCTTCGGCCATATCGATCAAAGCAATAAACAGAGCAAGTGTGATAGGGATTCTGCTGATTAGGGCATTCTGCGCACTCATGTACGAGATAACCGTCTTCAAAGACAGGAATAGCGTTCACATTGTTCTTAGCAAGCTCAGGATCAGATAACCTAAGGCCACTAGCAGCTGTGTGATCAGCGATTCGAGTGGTATCAGACTTCGGCGGTTCAGTGTCGTCATAATTTTCTGCAAAGACTTCTTCGACTAAAAAGTATAAGAAAGGTGATAGAAAAGGCTTCAGAACGAATGCACCAAATGCCATAGGGATTGACTGAGTTTATGAAAACGAAGATAGCCTAATTTGTTTAGACGAACCATTTTCTTTGGCCTCATTTTGTATAATACCACGTCTCTTGAGTCTAGCGAGAAGAGCTGGTGGCAAAGGCATCCTGCTTAGACGGTATCAGAAAGGCGCTGAATCAGAGTACAGACGAATACAGCATCTCCAATTTACTTAGCTTTTTCAATAACCATACATATTTATAAAATATAATTCTAAGTAAACTAATTTAATATATTAAAATTATAAAAATCTTTAATGTAATCTAAAGTTTATACTAAATCTTGGTCAAACGTATTCTGCTGAAATTGGAGTAAAATTTAGCCTAATTAAGTCCCAATAGAGCTGCTTTATTTATGCTTTCCTTTTCTTTGAACAGAAACCTTTGATTCTCGTTGCAGAATGATTATCTTTGAAGAGGAATATATTCTAAACTAAAATTGAGTGGATAACAGAATCTATAGT